CTGGGCATCAGTAAAGGTGGCTACATTGCATGGGCATGTGTGCACATGTAATTAATGGCCGTCAGTTGTCCCCCACAGATCTATTAATATGCTTAGATCCGTGTTATAAACAGTGTGTGAAAGGTCTGCTCAGCATCATCCTTTTTAAATGACTGGCCTCTTGTTCTGATGGATGGATGGAGGTGTTCTAATATTAATGATCACATCTCCTGCCACCCCATCGTGAGCTGAAATGAACAATGCAGCCTTCAGCCTCGAACAACAATTAGCAGACCGGTGGCTGCCTGTCAGCCATTTGTCATCACTTACCCCACCTGGTCACCCCTTATGAACACATGCTGAACATGTCTGTCAATAAATACAGAATACGTTCTGATTTGAAAAAGTGTGCTGTGGTTAATGGCATAGCGTTTCAGCTCTAATTTCTGAGCACATTTGTCTTTTTGTTCCTAATATGTTTCTAATCAAAAAGTGGGAATAAAACCACAGCATAGAAGAAGTGTCGGGAAAGTGGTCAATTCTGTATGGCCCAAACATTTTCCAATATCTGCAGAAAAGCCCAAGAATATACTCATCATAACAGTCAAAAACACTGAATATATATTTTGTTTGCACAAGTTTGAATGGAACACCTTGCATATAATATAAAATGCTTCTTAGGGCAGTGCATGCTCGCTTCCAAAATATACATTTTAACAAGAAGGTTGCTGAACGTAAACTTTTTTTTTCTTCTTTCGACATTGGCAACATCTTCCTGACTGACCTGTGGCACTCATTGTCTAATTCATATTCATTGGCTGGTTCAGAGCAAGAGTAAAATGCCAAAAGGTTACACATTACCAATGCCCCTACTCTGAGGTCAGCTTCCACACATTTTGGTTATCCATTTACCACTTGGCCCAGTTAGCCATCACTCTGCGCCACCAAACTTATTGCTGATGTTTTTAAAACAAGTGAATAATACAAACGATTGTGAGAAAATGGTGGGAAGGTGAAAACACATTTTCATCGTAGTATTTGTTTAGAGTGGCTTACATTGAGTAAATAAGTGCAATGAGAGGTTCGGTTACCACATTGTAACTGCTTTAGTTAGTGTAAAGCAAGAAAAAAATCATTTAGAAGACACCTTTGCTAGAAATGCTGAAGCAACAGTTCAAGCCGTAGTTGAAGTTCTTTGTATAGCTGTAGTCATGTGAACATTTTACTGGAAATTATTATTTGCCAGTGACTTATTTTGGTGTAATGGCACTGAGGTGTTTTTTTCCCCCTAGACTTCAAGTTAGCATATATCATTTGGCTGAAATAGATTTTGAATTTTACATATGTGCATGAAAAATAAAAGGATTGCCATTTCCTAGAGAGACTTGGACTTTTGGTTAGAGTGCATTTTAAAATAGTTAAAAAAAAAACTTTTGATTTAGTCAGTTTGAAGCTAAATATAAGGCTTCTGCAAACCTTTAGTGGTCTTTTTCTTTTTGAGCATGGAAGCACAATGTTCTGATGCAACAGGCACACCCTGCGTTTCTCCTCACGCTATTTTGCTTCACAAGAGGTTCCTACATTCTTCGATCCGGTGCCAAATGGACCGGGAAGGAAGCGCCTTTGATACACACAGGGAGCCTGCCTTTTTGAGCTTGACATTTTACAGCCAGCTTGTCAAATTTGCTGGTTCATCACTAGTTTTGAAGTGATGGACTAGTTCTATAACAGGTGTCTGACAAGTACCGATAGCTAACTGTTTAAACACGCCGCTCTGTTACACAGCTTTCCCTCATTCCGTCACTTCTGTTACTGTGAAAGGCTAGCTGAGATCCAAGAGATTATGCATGTTTGCAAGCTGAAATAGGTGCATGGCTTTGCTTGGAGGTCTTGAAGAAGACACTGTACACTTTGTATCTTTGCTGTATAAACACATGAGAAAAAATTGCCACCTGCCAAGACAATGTAACCAAGGATTTATGTTTCTCTATCAAAATGTAATGGACAATGCTTTCAGATTAAGATTACAAAACACAAAACCATATATCTGCAGTTTATGATGCAGCAGCCAAATCTAGATAACTCGTCAGGAACTTGTGTATTACTTGTGTCCACTGTCAGTAGACGTACAAAATACTTTTTCTTTTTCAGTGGCCTTTCTAGGGAGACTGAGGTGGTTTTATCCCTGCAGCTGTGGAGTTATCTGGCTACTTTGAGCTATTGATGCTAAGCGCTGGACATTAATCTACTTCATGAAAATCACTTTGAAGAAAGTGTCTGTTGGAGTGTCACAGATGTGAAGTAAATTAAATTATTAAATATATAGTACACCGTTTGATATCTCTTATAGGCCAGGATCAAAGCAAACCAATTGAGTTCTATTCTACCTAATGTGTTTTTCTGTGATAAACAGTCCGGCTGAGGGAATAATCCCATCAAGGAAGGGAGAGATTAAAAAAAGGGAGAGAAAAAAGCATCAGATATATCACTCAGAACAGATGGTTTGGACTGCTACCGTGAAGCACCCTCTTTACAGTGTTATGAAATTGGTAATCTTGTTTTTTGGGGTCTGAGTAGAAAGGCAAGCATTTTTTTTTTTGCACCTTGTGTTTTTCCTTTAAGAATCCGGTGCAGACACAGAGACAGAAGACAGACAGACGTTCTCTAATGCTGCGAGAGTCCTTCTGCCTCAGAGGGCTCCGGTAACTTCTTGTCTTTGGCATTTTTTGTGGAATTTCGTAGTAGGCTGATATATTTGACACATGTGTGACAGCCTTGGTTGCATGCTTTTGGGTCTGAGGAATCACACTTTCTACCACTGTTGTGTATTATTCAGAAAGCTCATATATTTTTTGTTTTTTTGAAAACTTAAAGCTGATACGAATGGCATTATCAAATATAGGTATACACACCTAAAAAGTTTGCGAATGGCAAAAAATAGGATTTGACCAGTTACACAGCAGCACACATAAACACATATATGCACAGATGGATACACATACAACAGTAGCCCGGAGTCTCGCCTTGATATCTTCAGCTTCTGTCATGAGCTAGACTTTGACACCAGTGATTGTGTGTCAGCTTGTCAATTTCTACCAACAGCCTTTGAATGCAGCCTAGCCATGAATAGTGCATGTTTTTTTTTTGTGGTTTTTTTTGGTGGGGGTGGGGGGCTTCCAGCTGTCTGCAAGTCTGTTTTTGTTTGTTTCAGAATAATTCGGAAGACCTGTACACTTGTGCATCCTTTAAGAAAACTTCCAGTAGGTGTTGTGTTGTTTAGCCTAAGGTCAATATTCAGCCCTGAAGATAAATTCATCAAACTGCCTCAAACTAGATGCCCTTCCATTTGATCTGTCCCCATTAATAATTATTGGATCTTTTTACACCCGACCCTCCACCACCCCTACTCCCTCCGTCTTTAATGCACATTCCTTCACCACTCGCACACTTTTTGATCCATCCTCCATTTTCAGTTAGGGCACATAACTTTTTATAATTCCACTGTAAACGTTTATGAACGAGATGTTTTATTTTGCTCAAAAATTCTGGACATACTTTGGCAGCCATGTCTCACAATGTGCCACTTGGTGTTTTTGGCATTACTGGTATTAGTGTAGAAAAAAAAAGTCAAATGCAGGTTTTAAATGTCAGTAAAATATACAGGTTGCTTTTTATTCTTTAACTCTAACTGTTGAGTTGCTGATCCACAAGCCATTCATCCAAAACTCAAGGATGTGAAAAGACATGGGCATGCCATTGACATTTCACCTTCCTGCTTCAGAACCCACATGCAATGTGTGTGTGTGCACCTCTGTGAAATTAATGCTGAGATACTAATTCCACAAATACAAACAAATGCAAATAGAAACATCGCTGCACACATACAGGTATATGAAAAAAGCAATGCTCAGAAACAAATTTTATTTGGAAATGCAATATTTTTAATGCCAGCTATGTCAAAGTTCATGCTCAGTAATCCAGGTAAAACATCCAACAAAGTTAAGTCAGGTCCTCTTGACGTTTTCTTTTTGTTTTAACGTTTCACCTTTCATCCAGAAGACTTCATCAGAACGAGGAGCCACAATAAACTCAGTTTTATAAGTAGCACACTCACATAGTGGACCAACCAGCTTGATGGTGATAAGATGGTATCTGGAGTCCACCCTCTCCCACACTGACTGGTCTGAGGCAGCCATGGCCAAAGTGGTTCAAAACTTCAAAGTTCATGCTCAATTATCTTGGATATTGGAAACTTGGATATGCTTAAATTATGGGAGAGGGTGGACTCCAGAAACCAGCTTATCACCATCAAACTGGTTGACCCACTGTGAGTGTGCTGCTTATAAGACTGAGTTTGTTGTGGCTCTTGGGACTGATGAAGTCCTTTGGATGAAGGACGAAACATTTCAACAAAAAGAGACCGTCCAGATAACTTGACTTAACTTTGTTGGAATGTCAGCTATGCTTTGATTCAAAGGTTAGAGTGGAATTTGAATGGAACGAAAGTCGCTTTTTACTCATTCACAAGGTGAACGGTCATATTGTAGGTGCTCTTTATTGTTTGTTAAAGATGATTAAATAAACTCGACTGCCAATTTATTTGGATTTAGTTTTTGGGGTGCCATTGAAATTTCTTTTTATCAGAATATATTTTCTCCTAGTTAATTTTTTTATTTTATGGATTGTCTTGCTTCAATGACTTGAAGTTGCTTTGTACACTTCTGTCAAACCATTAAAATGTTTTAAAGGTGAGTGATTATATATAAAAAAACATGATACAATGGAAAAATTGATGTCTCCTGAGTACCAAATGTAGGGTGGACATTTGGTAGTCAAGAGCTCAAGAACCTATAGTGTTTGCTGATTGAGTTGACAGAAAAGGCGATAATTTTACTTTCTAGATAATATATAAAACAGAATGTTAGCTATCACAATATACCCCCCCCCCCCCCCCCCACACACACACCCACAAACAAACACAGCCTTAAAGATAGTCTATTTTATTGTGATGTGTTTTACAGAGGCGTAGGCTACTGCAGGAGTTAGGAGACCAGAAGATCCCCTTTTTGGGACCTTCAGACCGAGGCTTTCAGCAACTGGTGAGTTCGTTCTACTTCCATTTAATGCCAAAAATAATCTAGATGTTTACACTGAGGGTGCTGCTACCTTAATAAACAGTAAATATACCTATAATTTAGATTTAGTAAAGTCTTGTGCGTCTATATAAAGTAATGGGATCATTGTGCTTTGACTCAGATGGTTGATGTTTTCTAGTGGGATTCCAGTTACTGTGGCTTGGCGTTGAGGAAATCCTGTTCGCTGCCTGTTGAGCTGCATGGTCGAGTTCAGACAGCTCTGCTCACCCTCAGAAGGAAGGGCTGCCTCCTGAAGGATCTGGTTCGTGTTCGTGATCGAGATGTGTTTACTGCCGTGTCACGAGTGCTGGTGGGTGAGCCGGGCCATACCTACCGCTATCTGGACACACGGCTCTTTGCTATTCCCTGGCACAGTGAGGACACAGAGGTCAAGGGACAAAACTGTTGTGATCCAGACTTAAGAGCTGCCTGCAAGGCACTATGGGAGCTCAACAACTTCTTCTGCTCTGATGTGTCTCAGCTGAAAGAAGGAGACAAGCTAACAAAATGTGTGAAGGCCGAAGCAGAAGTTAAACTAGGTGAGGAGGGGGACACAGAGTCAAAACACAGTGAAGACTCTAAAAATAGTGAAGGGGGAGACTCAGAGTCCAGGCAAAGTGAGGAGGGGGAAACAGAGTCCAAACACAGTGAGGAGTGGGACATTGAGTCAAAACATAGTGAAGAAGGCTGCTCTGGGTCAAAACTGGAAGGGGAGTGGGAGACTGAGTTCAAACTCGGCAGCGAGAAGGGGGAGTCCTCCCAAGTTTCACAAAGTGGAACCTGTGTTGCAGCAACTTCAGAACACAGCGAAGGAAAATGCACCGGCTGGACAACCAAAGCCACCAGTGGGATAGAGACGAACCCTGCAAGATTAGAGGCCCAAGGGAAGCCTGTAACTCAACTAAAGCACAGCCTGTCAGATTACCACATTCAGGACAAGGAGGAACATGAGACTGCGCAGGGTTGTTCCCAGCCCACTCCTCAAGTTTGCACTGGTTTGGTTAGCTTCAATGTCACCTTACTGAACTACATGGACCCAGCACAAATGAGCCATCTAAAAGAGGAGCCCTACTATGGCATGGGGAAAATGGCAGTAGGGTGGCACCATGACGAAAACCTAATCACACATTCACCAGTGGCTGTTTACAACTTTAATTGTCAAAATGACAAAGGTAAGACTTTAAGTAAAATAGCAAACCTGTCATTTATATATGTATGTATGGTTCATTAATGTGCATACATTAGACTGAATGGTTGATACATTTTACCACTTCACAGAGTTGCCAACCCTTTTAAACAATTTAATTCACATTAACATGCTGGTTTTTTATTTCTTTTCCACTCCAATATCATCACATCGACTTATCTCGGCTGCTTCATTGTGGATTAGATGCAGGTAACCTTGTGTGTTTTGGCCCTACAGCAGTGCTGTAGCAACTGTAGACATGGCCTCTGGTGAGGCAACCATCAGATCCATCTATGTGATAGTGTCAGGGCATTATCAAATGTCATCACCAGTTGGCTGCTGACAGCCTTATCACTGCTTGTGCTTTGGGAGATCACAGACATTTGAATCTGAGCTCTTAACATGAGCTCAATGGCATCGTCTAACAAACAGGCCTTATCACAAGCACTACATCTCATCTAAATCATTTCCCCAAGAAATGATCAATGTGCAATTATCTGATATGGAATAATGAGTCCCGCTTTGATAAGTGTTCCTCAGCTGTACTGTATGGATAATACGATGTTTCCTAATTACCGAATGTGCACCCTCTCTAGAGATGATAGTGTTTGCTGATTGAGCTGACAGAGAAAAAGCGGCAAGTTTGCTTTCTAGAAAGTATGTGAAACAGGCTGTAGAACACACCGCAACCATAAAAAACACATCTTATTTAAAATAAAAACATGTCTTAAAAGGGTTAAAACTTGTTCAGAAAAAACTGGAATCAACCACTTATTTTCATCTGAATTAAAGTTTAATTTAGGCCTGTCACAATAACAAATTTTGCTGGGTGATTTGTCTCAGATTTGTCGAATTTTCAGAAATTGTTGCGATAAACGATAATATTGTTTGCAATTTAACAACTGTCAAATTTTAGAAGAAATGTTGATTTGTTTGGTGAGTAGTACCTTTTTTGACCACCTGATGGCAGTATAAGACAGTTTGAACCAAAGGATGGATAGTTGAGCAGCATCTATTTAAGAAAAATAGAAGGGAGGTCTCTTGACGTGACATGGGCTGACATGGTGACCAAGTAGGTACATGGTGGACACTCTGTGATTTGAGCTCTTTAGCATAGCATTTTTCACACAAAGCTTTTAATAAAAAATCAGTTAACAAGTTCTCAGCTTCTTTTTGCCAAGAAAAACATCTTTTTACACGAAGGCACTGGTTTCCACCGTGAATTTTAGTGCTCGACAAGATGGAGGTTTATTCCCAAGGTCGGCTTGTTAGCTTAGCTCGTGGCTTAGCTTCTCAGCTTAGCTACTTTTAGCAATCCAAAAATGGGATTTGAGACAGGTAAAATGGATTTTAAAGAGAAAGGGAGGGTTCAGTGAAGAGCACTGGAGTTGAGCCATGTCTTCAGTAGAAAGAGACACGAAGAAACGATAAAGCCGGTAAATGAAAATGAGGTTGATAATTTTCATTCATCATGTGATTGATTTATTGTTTATCAGGACAAGCCTACTTTAATTATTAATTGACCCCCCCTTGCTTTGTTTATATGCAGGATAGGTAATGAAACGTATTTTCCAGAGCTGGATGCAAATTAATCGCAGTTATATAGTTCATGTGCTGTTCTGTGGAATGTGGGAGCTTAAAATAATCACAGTTTGCTGACCAAAAGTTGCCAAAGTTGTAATTTTGCAGTGTCACACAGGTGCAGTTTTAAGTGTTCTGACATCCAAACACATTTTATACTTGATGTTTCTATTGAACGTAAAAGGGAACACCTGCTCCAGAGCTCTGCTTTAATAATTTGTTCTAGGTCATTTCAACTTTGACCCTGTGAGCACTGGCATCAAACACTTTAGTGTAACACCTTGCCGTGCTAGTTCTGGTTGACCTCAAAGTTTCAGATTTTACAGAGTCAAGTTTGATGAGAACCTCTCATCTTTGTTTTGAGGCTTGGCTCTGAAGTTTTCCAGAGCCTTGCTGGATTTTTAGAGGCTTGTTCCCTAAAGCACAGCTATGCAGCATACTAGACAATGTATATATACTGACACTTTATTGTTACATTTGCTTTTTTCTCAAGGTCTGCTGTACATTTACTTTTCAACAACCTCACCTTGTTACTTTTTTTTTGAACTGAGAAATGCAGATATGTCTATTTTTTTCTCTCCCAGTTGCTCTGATCCAAAGGAATCTGCCATGACTGAATGTTTTCCGGCACAAAGGATGGGCTTCTACCATTCCCGAGGCCTTGGGGAGTGCTGTCATTAGCTGGCTCTCAGAGCACAATGCCTGGAAATTAAGTTACTATTTATCCGTGCTGAGCAAAGGAAAAGGCAGCTATGAGGCAGAGAGGCCCAGAAAGACTTTAGTATTGATTTTGCTGAAGGGTGTCGGCCAGCCGAGCCAAATCTTGTTTTTGTAGGCTGCCGTGTAAGAACTGAGGCAGAGAGAGAAGAACAGCGAAGGCGGTATCAGTGAATAGGTTCGGCAACAAGAATATCATAGGATACATGCTCTCACACACTCACTAAACAACATCAGGGGCTTTTATCCAACTATTTCCGCTTGCACAGTATAATGATAGCATAAAGATCCTGTGCTAACAGTCAATATGACCACAGCAACACGTCTCATCTTTGCTCAAACGTTAAGTGATTCTTATATTCTGGAGACAGACTTACAACTTACACCCATTGTTTGGCTAGTATTGATTTAATCGTTGCACTCTGTACTTTTGTTGTGGTGATTCTTCTTTCTTTATTTTCTGGCTGTGATGATAAGTGGTTATTGATACAGTTTTTATGCTGCATTCTCCTGATAAAATAGTTTCAACTTAAGTAAAAAAAAACCACATCTCTAATTTAATTACCTATTGAAATGTTTGAGTACGTGTTTTGCTGCCAAAGCCAACATATGTATTTTAATGTTAGATACAAATAAAAAAAGTGAGATGAGATGTGTATGACTGACAGGCGAATGCAGTGAAGGAGGCAGTGACGAGAAGGCACGCTGGAGGATCGGGCTCAAGGTGGCCTGGGACATCCACACTCCTGGCCTGATGCTACCGCTGGAGTCTGGAGACTGCTATTACATGAGAGGTACTACGAGTTTTCCATAAACACACTCGCAGGATACACATGTGTGCATGTTAACATGCCGCTCAATGCATCTCGCTCACATCCACCACTATGTCTGAATACGGAGAGAGGAGCACTTTCATTACACTGTTCTAGTGTTTTCTGTACTTCGTCCCAAATGACCCACAACAGCAGGATTCACTTCACTCTCACTTTCCTGCACTGCCCTCATCTTCTAATTCTTTTTGCAGGAGAAATGGAACTGAGACGTGTGTGTGTGTGAGAGAGAGAGAGTGAGCGAAGAGAGACGTTTCTTGGCCAGAACACAAGAGCTTTAAGGTTCCATGAAATTGTGTGCATTAGAGAGGTTAGGAAAACCAAATGTTATTTTTTGAAGTCCTGTGACCCATTGCTGACTACGTCTCTATGGGGAGAACAGACTGCAAGCCACAGGGGTGTAAATCGTAGCTTAATGCTTTTGGCTGCTGCAGACACCTCCACCCTCCTCTTTTCGGTCCCGTGGGTCCTTGCAGGCTTTCTCATACTTTCTAAGTCCAAGGACATTTATTCACATCACAGCAGATGTACAAGACGTGAGGAGTCTTATATGGATAGATGGGGATTTTTTTAATTTTTATAAAGGCACCCTGCGTTCATAAACATCTAAGGATAGACATAAAATACGATTTAGTGTAATTCCTATCAACAGCTGCTTAATGAATGTTTGCATTTTTACATTGATCATTTTAAACTAAAAACAGACTCAAACAGCATTTAAAAAGGTACCTGAGGTATTATTCACACATCATATTCACTGACATAATGTGCTTTCATCATAGTTTTACATATACCTTTATTGTTGTCACTCTATTAATGTCAAACGTCTTTGTTGTAACATCCTTGTTTTAGATGTAGACAGATTTATTCTTGTTCTGATTTTTACCGCCCTAACTGTTTCTGCTTGCCAGCCTCACCTTTTTAACATTCACATATTTAACCTGCCTTTAGGCCTGTCACGATAACACATTTTGCTGGGCGATTAATTGTCTCAGAAATTATTGCGATAGATGATAATATTGTTTGGAATTTGACAATAATTAGTAATTATTGTCAAATTTAAGAATACTTTTTTTTTTTGCATATAGTGCATTTTTCGACCACTGGATGGCAGTGTAAGATGATTGAACCGAAGGATGGATAGTGAGGGAACGAGCAGCGTGTCTCTTTAAGAGGGTTAAGTAGACGGTTAAAATTGATAAAGAGAAAGGGAAGGGTCAGTGAAGAGTACCGGAGTTGAGCTTTTTGTCATCCACTGTCTTCAGTAGAAAGAGACACGAAGAAACGATAAAGCCAATAAATGAAAATGAGGTCGATAATTTTCATTTATTATGTGATTAATTTATTAGTTTATTGCGACAAGCCTACCTGCCATTGTGTATCTGTTCCTACCAAACCCAGCTGGTCGCAGCAGATGACCGCTTGTCCTGAACGTGGTTCTGCTAAAGGTTTCTTTATCATGAGGGAGTTTTTCCTTTCCACTGTCGCCTTCATGCTTGCTCAAGCTGAGAGTTCTGCGATGGAGTTAAACTCAAAGCACTCTGCTCCTAAGATAATGTTAAATTATTATTTAAAATATGAACGTTTCTGATGATTTATTTTATATATGAATGTTTCTGTTCAGTGTCCTGAGACAACTTCTGCTGTGACTTGGCGCTATATAAATAAACTGAACTGAACATAGAAGATTACATTAAATTATGCTTTTTAAAACGTTATATACTGTATAACCCTGTGACAAATGTGAGAATACATATTCGTCATTGTGATAAGGGGACAGATAAAACTCACTTTTTGATCTCTTCAGGAGCAGCTGCACATGTGAGGTGCCATTTAAAAAAATATTTTATGTGTGTGAAGAATTGACCATCTCCTGTAGCTCCCAGCTTCTATAATCTTTTAACATCTGGGACTTGGATTTAGGGAATACACTGTGATCTTGAGGTCCTAATTGAATACATTTTGAAAGGACTAGCTGTAGTTTGTGTCAGTGTTTTTTTTTTGTTTTTTGGTAATTGTTTTTAATCTAAAGATTGCATATGTCTGGTTTTATATCATTTGTAGTTGATGATGGTTTAAACCCTTTTCACAGCCAAGGTATTTAAGAAAATGTTAGTTTGACATGCAGTTACATTTTCTACAACATTCACTTGTAAATCAGTTCATTACCATAGTTTGCCAGTATATTTCATAGTGCATAAACATAATTGTAAAGTACTAAGTACCTGTACAATAACTGCTTCTGTATTAATCAGCATGGCTATACCAATAAAATACTTATATATTTTAATTGAAAAACTGTATTATTTCTAAATCAAAAGTAAGTAGCTTTTTTTTTTAATTTAATTTTTTTCATTCCAACGAAAAAAAAAATTGTAATGCATATTTCAATAAGTCATGAGATGAGTTTAGGTGTAAATAAGACATTATTGTTGTAAGTTATTACTTTTTTACTTTTGCATTGTGACAGTAGCCGTGGTGTATTGGTATACTCTATGAAATATAAATGCATAATTAAAGGTATACTTGTACATTCCTAAAACACTGGCTTTTAAATAGGTTACTAACCTGTTAGGAGGAATTGTATGGCATTATTGACCTCCTGACTCTGGCTCTTAGACGATGCTGTGTTTTCGTCAAGCAGCAGCGATGCCTGTACCTAAAATTTAGCTCGACAGGGCCTGAAGCCGACCGTATAGGACAGGATGAGATTTACAATGGAGCCGTCAGTTTCAGGCTAGCCGTGATAATAGAGTGATGGGCTGTTGTGCGGGCCATTCTAATGGTACTCAACTGTCGCGGATCAGTGGGGATTTATGCTCCGCTCGGTGAGTGCGCCTTTGAGAGTCCAACTGCTGCACGTCGATAGCAGCTCGCTCACTCCTCGGCCGTCTGTTGCTTTGTTGGCCTACCTGAATTAAACACTTGGCACAGTGTGCAGACATATGCACACCACGCGTATGAGTTTGCACATCTCGCGTGCGCAAAAACACGCACGTCTTCACACATGGACGTCTTTTGAAGCGTGCGTATGCCCCTCCCTCATCTCCAACACGCACGGACAGAGCAGGCACAACTAAAGCAGGTGTTAAAATATATTGTACTTGTGATTTACTGACATACGCCCAATGATAAGTAGTTTTGCGGTATTAAAAGGAAACTACAATAGTGAATAACCGCAGACGCTGTTATATAATTTCAGCACCATTTGTCGGCGGCTGGCCCCTTTGAACTGCTAATGTCTGAACTGCTGGAGGCAAATTGAATCACCATCATTTCCACCCAAATGGAATTTCAGTGGTTAAAAAAGAACAATGCAAGTCCTGACACCGGGCCTGTTCAATAATCTGATTTCCAGCTCCCAATGCACAGTGGGGAGGCGGGGGGGACTGGAGAAAAGAGTTGACCCAATATATTTAAAAGCCTGCTTCCTGGAAAAGGAGGACAAGTGGCAGCAGGCACAGGGGTTGAAAGAAAGATAAATATTTATTACAGTTATCGAGTTTGCCTCTACTCCCTCCTGATCCCACTGACTGCATCAGACGCGCCAAGAAAAGAGCAGATTGATGGAGATAATTTGTTATTGGATATAAACAGTTTTAAAGACGCGGAGTAATTCTGCCCAGAGACCTAATCCTTCACAATCTCATCAGGGTGAAGAAAACACCGGCAAGTTGTTTTGTTTGTCACCGTCTTTTTTTTTTTTTTTTTCTTCCGCTCCTTCCACCAAACAATAATATCTTCCTCCCAAAGCATTTGGCTGTTTGACTTTCAAATCACAGGCATTAGCTGGTGTACTCTTGCTCAAGGCGGGTGTAAATATGCACATGTGCTGTGAATGACAGCTCTGTCATGGCTAAATTAATTATTGGTGGGAGGCAAATAATGGCAGAGCTGAGAAACATCTATACACACAAAGAAACACATGGAGGGATACACAGGAAACAGCACTGTAAAGCTTGTGTGATATTGGACAAATGTTTGTTGGTATGGCACTTCCATCTTGACAGATTGAGCACGATCTGCTTCTGTTTGGTAATTAAAAATTTTATTACAATACTCTTCGTTCTATTTGATTCGGTGCCGGACCAAGTGGAAAAACGTCTGAGTGTACAAGTTGATTTAGTCTAATTGACTCGCACTTTTCATCTGTTTTTGTGTTGTAATATTTTCTGTTCAATCGTCTCGTTCATTTTTTAATAAAAGATTAAAACAACGGCACACACACAGTTTGACTTGTGAGATAATTATTCTCCTGTTTTTTTTGGTTTGAGTTATTTTGCCAGAGATTTTTAAAAATTTCTCATCAGTAATAGCCTGTGCCTATCGTTTTCCATTTCTTTTTCTTTTTCTTTCTTTCTGTTTGACCAGATGACCTGAACAGCACACACCAGCATTGTGTTCTTGCTGGAGAGTCGGCTCGTTTCAGCTCCACACACAGAGTGGCTGAGGTGAGAAGTCGGTCGGCTGAAAGGAAAAACTCAAAATTTGAATTTGTTGTGTACACACATGCAGCAATATTTATTATTTATTAATTTTTTTCACAATGATTAAGTAGCAGGTATTTTTAAGGGCTTTTAGCGCGCTTATATCATTTTACCTGTTTTACTTTTTCTTTGTGTTTGTTGATATTTTGAGTGTACTTCATAACACAGCAAGTTATGATATAAGACAAGTTTCCCTTTGGATAAAAAAAAAAAATCACTCAAAAAATTTAAATTTTTATTTTCATCCTATTAGTATTAGTAATATTGATACTGTGCAGTTCTAATAAAAAATATAATTTTGATGTCGGGGTGAATAAATCAATGTGGACTCTTTTGTGAAGAAAGGAAGAATAAGACAGAATAAATGTTGAGATATTCTGTCTTATTCTTCCTTTCTTGACAAAATAGTCCACATTGATTTATTTACCCCAACATCAAAACTATATTTTTTATTAGAATTACACAATATCTATCTTACTAATATAATGAAAATAATAATAATAGTAATAAAAAAGAATAAGACACAATAAATAATTGTTCAGACAGAGGGAGTGGTGGCACATAGGTTAGAGAAGGTGACCCTGTGATTGGAAGATTGCTGGTTCAACTCCTGGTACCGACAACATCAAAATGTGGGTGGGATAGGCGAAACACCTACACTTGTCTCCACCTTCATTTGCCCTACTCTGGGCCCTTGAGCAAGGCCCTTAACCCCCACCCTCTGCTCCCCTGGGTGTCCTAGACGGCAGCTCTCTGCTCCACACAGAGGGCTGTGGTAGCTCGGTGTCTGTGGTTGCATCAGGAAGAACATCCGGTGTAAAAATAATTGCCAAGTCTTTGTGCATCTTAGTTCACTGTGGTGACCCCAGAAGAAGGGAGCAGCCGAAAGAAAGAAAAAAATTCAGATGGATAGATAGAAAGACAGACAGCTAGATAGATAGATAGATAGATGTATAGTGTATTATACAGAAAAAAATACATATGAAATAATCAAAAAAGAAGTAGAATACACAAATTTGGAAAAAGACAATATGCACATACACAAGGTGGTAGGGGGTACTACATTCATGATTAACATGCATATATATATATATATATATATATATATATATATATATATGATGATTTTGTGTTTCCTTTTTTTATAATTAATATTTTTACAGTACAAATAATTTTAATCATAAATACAACTCTGTTTTTATGATAAAAGTACAAAATAGATACTATTTAATAAAATTACATCAATAAACAGTACTACTTTTTTCAAGAGGTTCTCATTCCATAATATTTTTGTATGAAATAAAAAAATAATAATAATTAAAAAAAGAAAAAAAATGTTTAGACTGTGCTTAACCACATACATTTGATATTTGGAATGTTCCCCCAGTGCAAGCAATGTTTGTGAAACTGTCTATTTGGTTCCTCTCAGTGTTCTAGAGGGACCTTGACCTACATCCAGTCCCGGTGCCATGAGGCCCTGTCCAACCTGCACACTGACCCTGAGACAGGTTCTCACAGCCTGCTGGTCCTGCAGCCGACAAAACTGCAGCACTGTGAAGAGATTCACAATGAGGTGAGGACATTTCACTGCATGTTACAGTCACATCACAGTCTTTAAAAGTTTAGATATATTCCTCTGTGAAACCCTCTGACTCTATCGGAGTTGTCCTGATGCTGTAATCCTTGCCCATCTGGTACTCCAAGCAGGTTAAAAACAACTCAGATCCGTCTGCAAACATGATGATGACTTAATCCAGACAGCAGAAATTGTTGTTGAATATGAAGAAAGCTCTACAGACAACATGGATAAACATCTAATTAAGAAATCGAATGCATTAGATCAAACATGTATTTGTGCTTTTTGCACCATATGGATTTACACACCTGTGCTGTGTGTAAATCCAGCACACAAACACACATTTCAGCCTTTTGGTTGACCCCGTGTTCTTTGTGGGAGATACATTCTGACAACAAACACTACAGGAGTCACTGGACTGGATTTCCCATGTTTAATATTTTCAGTGAAATTACAACAAGAAATGTACAGTATCGATATTATTCTTATCTTTATTTGATTCCACCTGGTTTGATTCCACTTTGTCAGCATTAAGAGAATTGCAGTTTGTAGTGGGGGTTGTCTGATGGCAGGTTAAAACACTGTAAATGGATAACTGGGAGCTTGCCAGCTGCCTGTACTCTCCTTAACGTACCTTGTTGTTATACAACAATAAGAAATTCCGGTTGTTCTCATTTGTTCTGGCTTGTGATGGATTGCCTGGCAATAGCCTCTCCATATGTTTTCTAAAACTGGAGTCGTGCCCCTGTCCCCTCCCTAACCTCTTTTCATATAGAACAATGAATGATGCTGGCGTAGGGTTCTGAGGGATAAAGCGAGGTCAAAAACGAGGAGGCATCAGCCTCCTGTGATAGCTTGCCTCAGGCCAACAGTTAATATACTTATCTCACCTCTCCCCTTTTACACCCCTGTGCCCAAAGTGCACATCCTAGCAGACGCCGGCACCCAGGCCCCTCTGCAGGATGCCATGACAGATGAGTCTGACGTAAGGTTGTTTAAAGGTTGTAGACAATTTTAATTATTCAGCACAGCCAAACAATAGGGATATCTGTGTTGGGAGAACTGCTGTGCACGTTGAGCTAGCAACACCTGCTAGTTTGCCACATAGCACCACAGGATTACCAAGCATTGGCATACACGAGGAGGGCTAGGCAGGCTTATTTAGGAAAACAGAGGGCTATTTATACAAGAGCCAGCATGTGTGTTAATGTTAGTGAGTGCTGAAGTAAGATGGGGGAGGCTCTCAGGGGCTCAGGCCTACCCTGCCCGGCTCTCGCAATGATCGATGTGGCCATTTGTTTGGAGTTGCACATGAGAGCTGAACACCCACCTAAATGATGTATTGTTAGTGGAGTTATTTATGATGGCGGCCCACTTCGGTGCTTGGTGGGTGCACATTGCGCGGGTCGTGTTTGACATGGACGACCGAGGAGTGAACAAGCCTGAGACGCACAGGTAACCTGACCTGAGCGACACCTTCTGGGTCTTTCCTTAAAAAGTGCTAAACACGCCGGCTGACACTTCACTAAAAGCTCCACAATAGTCGGAGGTGCATTTGTCATAAAATATAGGTGGAGCCTTAGGACAGTGATGGAGTAGAGCATCTGCCACCTGACTGTGTGCGAGGATGAAGCGACGTGTCTAGCTAACGTAGGCGTCAAAACAAAACAGACGGAAAAACAAAGTAAACTGAAGTTGCCACCTGTTTAGTGAGCACGGTCCTTTTCACTGTCTCGTTTTAATCTTACCTGCTGTTTTAGTCTGTCTGAAATGTCTAACATGGCATCGCCACGTGGCCCCTGTGTGTACGATGGCTTTGAAATGCTAATCCCAAACACGAATGTCTCATCTCATTTAAAGCCACTGTGTCACTTCCCAGGTGGGTGTGTGACAGAGTGCCCTGAGGGACCCTTTCTAATGACATCTGTCCCCCACAGTAAATACTGAAGGAAAGGACAAGGTTTTCTGAAAGTAGACTGTACGATAGCATATGTGTAACTTCCCAGTGTCCTGTTTTAGAGACACTATGTCTTCTCCGGTTTGGACATGATACTCTGAAAGTGGTTAAGTTTATCCATCCTCATTGCTCATCCTGTAGGTTTCATTCTGTTTGTTATCGGAATCATCTTTAAATTTGACCTCTATCACCTTACTTTTGTGCTATGGTTAGAATTAGCTTTTAGAATATTCAGTTTTATTAGAGATTAAACAAAATTGTTTTAATTATTCGATATAATCCTGAGGCTGCGGGTTTGAACCCAAGTTGTGTCAAGAATGGCATCCAACGTGGAACACATGCTTCCATGTAAGTTTGTTTGCTCATCATAGCGACCTCTAAACAAGAGAGCAGCCGAAAGAAAAACAACAATAACATAAAAGCTGATGTATTAAAAAAAAAAAAGAACAAAGATTGTTTCTTCTTAGAAGTAACACAAAGAGTGATACGTGTCAGGTCACTCAGAGAGAGTTGGGAGAAGCAGTTATTGCGGCTGATGTGAGAGGAGGTCGGGATAAGGTAAACAGAAAAGGGCAGAGTCGGGATCGATCTTACTCTCATCAGCCCTCACCTCAGGGCCCCGGCCCGGAAATTGATTGAACCCGCTCAGGGAATTCTGTGAAGGTGTGGAAAAAAAAAAAAGTGCCTCATTAAATGAAAAAAATAAAATGAAAAAAAAAGAAAGAGACTTTCTTGGTTTTAACTCCAGAGTTGCCATAGTGGGTGGCCGCTTGACTAATGTGGATGTAATGTGTAGTTAGTGTCCATTACCTGGAGAGATGACAGGGACTGCCAGGGGTGGGGGGGTTGGGGTCATAACTCCCTTCATACCTCCCTCCGTCTTTGTCATCTCAGAGGAAAAGTGGGCCTAACCGCCTCTCTCTTTTTTGCACAGAGTTTCGATCTATTTGCCCAGAAAGGTGGCATTTAGTCAGTGTTTCCTGTATGGCACCTCTCGGCTGGGTGGCCAGACTCCAAATACCAAACAGCCAGCTTGCCTCAGTTGCTTTGGATGGCCTGCTTTGTGGCTGCCTCTGGCCTGCACAGTGGGGGACAGGCAGCCGTGTCAGCTCAAAGTGGAGACACAGGTTGGTTTCTTCTCACCAAAGGACAGGCAGACAATCAGAGAGATAGAAGGAGGGACAGACTGAGAGAAAAGGACGTCCGATATTGGCCCTCGTGGCTTTGTTGTGTGTTTGAGCTGTAGTGATCGAAGGGGAGTGGGTTTGGAGTGCGTTGAAGGGACCATAAAGGATGACATTTCTTTGAAGGGCGTGTTGTATGGAGCGACTCAGAGTCTGCTGAGCACCGCCACTGGCTGTGTATTCTCCCTGACATGCAGCAGTCCTTGCATGTCATCCCTGCTGTGATCAGAGCCTTTTGGGAGTAAATGGCAGGATGACTCTGTGCACAGCTTCTACCCCAGACAGGCCTCACTCAGGTTGTTTGTGTAAATAGTTCTTTTTTGTTGTTTTGGGAAGATATGGCAGGGGGTGTAGGTGACTTGCCTCATCTCGCAGAACACTGACCATAAAATTGTCAAAATAATTCTTTTTTTTTGTTTAATGTTTTCTGGCCACAGTGTTGGTAGTTTTTATTTGTGCTGGAACTTTTCTTTAGCTGTAAAAATAATAATAAAAAAATACAAAATAAAAACATATCATTATCTGTGTCCATTCTTTTGTCATAGGTACAGTCATTTAGTTATTCCAGACAGGGTCAAGTTTTTTTATATTTATAAATAACTCTTAATAAGTGTGTCATCCCTGTTGGTTGACTGGAGTCTTTACAGTTAACCCAAGTGACCATAATAAAAAGCAAGAAAACAGACACATAAAAAGAATGTGTGAAGAACATAAACAGAAACTTTGCTAGATGATTTTAACCCCTAACTTGAGTGCTTCCTTCAGCTGCATGTCTGAAGTGGATGTGAATATATTATAATTTTAGATGGTAATCGCACCCATGTCCAACAGTTTGGTGTAACTGGGTGGTAGAAAGGGGTAGAAAGATAGAAAGGTGAAGGTAGACTTGGGCTGAATCTCATTGCTTGGTGTTAGTCCCACACTTACTTTTACCAGTTGGCCTTTATTGAAGTCACAAGGGGTGGTGATTAAAATATCCCACTACAAAATAGGATAATCCTTCAAGAAGCTGGCAGCCATCAGCTGTCACTGATACTTTTTATGACAGATGAGATGTCTGTCTGACCACGTTTGGCATGTGTTCTAGGTGTCTGGCTTGCAACAGACTTAAAAAAAAAAAAATCTTATGTTTTTGTGCGTTACAGAAGATTGACCAAGATGTGACATATCTGAATAAACCAAAGCAGACAATACACTGGCTGTTCTGATGATAAAACATGTTGGATGAGAAATGTGATGCTACTCTTGCTCTTTTAATGCTTGTTCGTCACAAATGACAATTAAACCAAATGTAATACAGAACATAAGGTTAAAAAAAAGGATTTGAGACACCCCTTATCGACTATGTGAACACACCAAATGTGTATTTATTCACAGTTTTAAGACAAAACTTGCCATGAGTCTCTTACAGTAACTTCTTTTCGTTCTTATCTTGCACTGAATAGATGCCACATCAAGGTCTTCACAGATCTAAAAACCATAAGTCATGTAGCTCCAGAAGTTATGACTCTGTGCAGCCTGATTTCATACAGAGTAATCTGACAGAGGTGTCAGACAGTTGCTGATTACATCTGAACCCTCTGAGCTTTGTGAATGGTTCCTTCTGCTCAAGACAATCGTAACACAAACAAAACAATGTAAATGAATAAAATTACTTTTTTCTTTCTTTCATGAAATTGTTACAAATAGATTTAGTTTCTAAACCCCATGTTGGATATTTTTTCAATTCAAAGCTGAAAGTACTTTATGCTAATTCTCTACTTTAATAACAATGAACAAAACAGCTTGGTAGTATGCTCAGTTCCAGTGTTATATGCAACAACACGTTGTGTTGTACAGTTGTCTATGTCAAGCTGTGATGGGGTTTGCATTGTTTTGGGTGGATGCTGCAATGGAGGACGTTTTGGAGGAGGGGAACTCAGCGTCTCACGCAAACGTTGGCAGCATTTGGGGCTATCTTTGACATACACACTCGGGTTGCAGTTTTATGCAGATACGTTAATAAATCCGCTCACACACGTGTGCAGACAGTAACACGCAGCGGTGCAAACACAATGTTGCACATACAGTACAGGTCAGAAACTCACAGACATGCACATGGAACAACACATTCAGAGGTACTGAGGCCACACCTGGCTTTAAGCATCCTTTTGGGGATTAAATCAGCACTTCATATAAGTAGAACCTAAACGCTTCAAGCAGAGGAGAAGGGGGTAGCTCAGCAGCAGACACTGTCAGTTCCAGAACGAGCAGGAAAACGAGGAGGGAGAGGGTGTAGTTTTCAGGTGTGCTTGCTGGAAGGTGTGTACACAAACAGATATAATATATACAGTAGTCCCTCGTTTTTCTTGGGGTTATGTTCCGGACCCTCCGCAATAAGTGAAAATTCGCAAAGTAGGGACGTTATATTTATTTTAGTATTTTTATATATTTTAAGGCTTTATAAACCCTTCCCACACTTTTGCAATGTTCTAAAATCTTAAACCTATGTAATTTTAACAATATACAAATATGTAGCTACTAAATTTTACTTACCAGCTCTGCCGAAACAGCGGCTCGGTTCCAGTCTGGCAGACCTACCCTGCCAGTTCTGGTCAGCTCTCTGCAGCCCTTCAGCACCAAAATGCTTTTGGAGGAAGCCAGACCTTCGGATGACCAGTGCGGTCCAGATTGAGCCCAAATCCGGATTGAAAAAAGTCCCAGTGGGCTCCGGAGAGAACGCCGAACCTCCGGGCGGTGCCTCCCCACTCGGAAGGCCTCGTGGGCCGGCAGGCGGCACTCAGATTCACAAATGAGTCTGGAGGTCCGGTTCTGGTTCGATTCCCGGTCGGTTCCATGCGGCTGTCTGCATTACGCCAAAGTCACTGTATGAATAAGGACCAAACTTTTTCGGATCGGATTACATCTTTCTCTTCATTTCAGCAGAAGGCAACAGGGCTTCTGGGCGGGGCACTGTTGGCTTCTGGGAAATGTAGTTGTTTTGAGTGGCGATACAGTATAGGCTTATTGAGAGAAAACTACAAAAAGGCGGCGCCTGTCCAAAATTTTTTCACGTACTGTCCCAACCATGTGAGTAATATTACATGGAAAATCATGTGTCCTGTATTTTTATTTTTTCTTGTGTTCAATCTTACAGCAAAAATCCGCAAAAGTCGAACCGCGAAGTAGCGAGGGACTACAGTTAGAGTTGCATTCGGGCCCAAAAAGTCTGATCTGACCCGGCCCCAGGCCACAGTCTTAATTTCCTAACCCCACCCGACCCGACGAATTAACAGTAATTACAGGTCCGAACCTGGAACCCCTCCAACATTTTTAATTAGTTATTAACGGTCGAGGACGCTCAGCTGAATAAACGGGACAGAAGATTCAGAGCTGAGAGGATATTTGTACTTTCATGGCCATAAAAAAAGCATTTAAACAAGCATTTAAACATTGTTTCTGCCTGCATTCTTGTGAATTACTGAGACATGCGGACAGCTCTGACACACACATCTGCTTTGGGATCTCACCTGTTTGGGTCGTCGGCCGCACGCGTCCGCTGAGTGCAGCAGCAGAATGAATGTCCATTTGGGTGATGGATCGCTGCCTGGCAGTTCAGTCCCATCTGAAGCTTAACTGAACTTTTTACCTCTTTCAAGGCCAGGCAGCTCGCGGTGAAATAGCCGCGTGCGGCTGGTGGAAGTATGGCAGGCCATGTTATTAAATAATTGTATCGCGGCTGATCCTGACTTAACTAAAAGCCCGAGACCGGCCCAGCCCGCCCATTAATCACATTATAACGGCCCAGCTTGGCCCTAATCCAGGTTGGTCCGGGCCGGGTTTCGGGTTAGAAATAACTACTGTACAGTATTTTTATGGAAATTGCAATATTTGCATTGACAATTATTTTAGTTAAAATCTGAACTTCAACTTAATAATTTTACTGCCCTTTTTTTTGTTGTATTTTTTCATTCGTGTTATAGATTTTCTGCTGCATTTTGGATCACTGTCTCGTCAAATGACACCACTTATGCTAAATTTCAGATGATGTATGCCTCACACAGATGGTCTCATGTTCAATTCTAAGACACCTTTGTGTACATAAAGTTTATGGTACTTAATAACTGCAATGCACCCAGGTCTTGTGCTGTTCAACAAGCCCAAATCATCAGCTGTTTACCAAAGGGTTGGACAGTTGGCTTACTTGTTTGTCAGAAATTTTCACTTTGGTCTTACCTGTCCAAACGTGACATTGTCCATAGAGTTTTGTTTAGAAGCCATTTTTGCACATACGTTTTTTTGTGATGTGCTTTTCATAGAGATTGCACTTCTTTGTATGCTATCATGACTGTAATATTTAATGTGTAATCTGTCTAAAATGTGACCCTGACCTTTGGTCTGAGCTTCTGTTGAACTGGTTCTTTTATTCCTGGACAGATTGTCTGTCTTTGACTTAATCATCTTGTTTTGTTTCATGCATAGTTTTGAATCTGTGTCTAACTAATTTAGAATTAACCCTATGCATATTCCCAAATCAAAAGATACATTCATAGGCAATAAACTTTTTTTTTTTTTTTTTGGCAGTTTGTGAATACACACTCGAATACTTCAAACCAGCCAACTATCAGTAAATTAGCTTTTTCTAAAGGTGCTCAAACTTGCTGATCATTAGTGAACAAAGATCTTATGATTAGGTGTGTTTTATTATGAAATTCTAGTGGAGGATGAAAGTGTGTGCTTAATGTTACACACTTGGCAAATTTATTTTTTCTGTTTCTATGGTAATAGTCAAATGTGTTGTGTCTTTATTTAGGTGGAGTTTGAATGGCTGCGGCAGTATTGGTTCCAGGGCCAGCGCTTCACCCGCTTCTGCAGCTGGTGGACCAGACCGATGGAGCAACTGGAGAAGGACTGGAAGCTCATGGAGACCATGGTAAAATGGCTGAGCTTATACACATTGCTAGTCGTTCCACAGCTAAGGAAATCAGAACCTTGGTTTCCTAAAACGGAGTTACTTATGAATTAATTTTTTAAATTTTTTATTAAGGATTATAACTTGTTCCCGACTCAGTTTTTTGGGGGGGTTCTACATAGAGAGTACAACAAAGTTCAGTCAGGTCATCTGGATGGTTTCTTTTTGTGTTGAGATGTCTGAGGAGCCACGAACAAACTCAATCCAGCGTTTCCCCTACCATTATACAAGCGGGGCGCCCTGCCCCATCAACAGAACCGAGCGCCCCGTCTACTGACCCCCCCCCCCAAACCACCTGTCGGCACTAACGTAATGCTGAACTAGCGGCTCGCAATGGAAATGCACTAGCTAAAAAGCTAAAGGCAGCCTCTTCCCTCATGCTGAACCCTCATGCTCTAAAACTGTAAAATTGTTGGTATGAACAGCGCTCTGCACAGCTCAGTACGTGTGTCCGTCCACCCCCCCCCGACAAAAATCATGAACACGATGAGCACCCCGCCATGGCAAGTTATCTAGGGGAAGCACTGCAGTCCCACAAGCAGCACACTCACATATTGGACCAACCAGTTTGTTGGTGATAAGATGGTTTCTGGGGCCTGCTCTCTTCCCCCTGTCGACTCCTATGAGGCAGCCATAGCCTCTGGTTCAAAACATCAAAGTTCATGCTCAATAATCCAGGTAGAAAGTCCAACAAAGTTCAGTCAGGTCATCTGGATGTTTTTTTTTTTTTTTTTTTAGATGTTTCGTCCTTCATCCTTTGGCTATGGCTGCCTCAGAGGAGTCAATGGGGGAGAGGGCAGGCCCCAGAAACCATCTTATCACAAGCAAACTGGTTGGTCCACTATGTGAGTGTCCTGCTTGTGGGACTGAGTTTGTTGTGGCTCCTTGGACCGATGAAGTCCTTTGGATGAAGGACGAAACGTCTCAACAAGAAAATAAACTGTCCAGATGACCTCACTGAACTTTGTTGGATTTTTTTACCTGGATTATTGAGCATGAACTTTGATATATAGAGTGCAATTAGTTTGAAAATGTTTCTAGATTAGTAGTGGTGAATTAATAAGTCCAAGCCCTGACAAGCTCAAGCAGTAATTTGATATGTTTGTGCACATTTCTTCAGTTTCTAGATATGTGTGTGTTTTGAGGACCCAGACATCAGAGGCAGCAGGGGGCACTCTTGCATCACTGGAGTGGCAGTGAACTGCTGCGCTAGTCTTTTCCTCCTTGGTCCCTCTCTGCCTCTCAGCCACTCCTGCTGTCTCTGGGAGCTCTCCGTCTCTGTCAGTGTCGAGAGCTGAGCAGTAATCACATCTAATGCTCAGGCGGGGATAAAGACAGGGGCTGCAGGAGAACAGTGCCGCTGCTGCTGAGGCTGCTCGGCTCTAGCAAGAAGTCTCTCTCTTTCTCGCATGCAGCCTGGCAGAGGGTGGGTGGTGGGGGTGGTGGGTTTAGTAGACAGGGGCTAAACTCATCTTGAGCTCCACCTCTGGGCCCAGATGAAGTGTGAGATTCGGACCTGCATTTAGTAAGGGGATGAAGTTTCTCTGTCTCAATCTTAGAGGTGGTTCAGCAAACCATACCTGCTGAGCGTGTTTGGGAATGGGGAAATGGAAATTTTCATTATTAAAACCAAACTAAGAGTTAAACTTTGCACGCCACAGCAGATAAAATTGAAGATGGCTTTTAATAAAAACATGCAGTGATTAAAATAGCTATTTAAAACACAAGCGCCAATAAAAATGTCTGTTGTATTTTTATATTTTAATATGTAAAATTACTTTGACACATGTTTACTAGCAATTGTACTTTGTAGATTAATTTTTTTTTCTAAAAAATAATCTTATTCCCAATGTCAAATCAGGCAAAAGGCAAGCATGTCTTGTGCAGGAAATGCATATTGAACAAATGCAAAAATAATACACGGGTGCGCGTGTAAAGGTAATGATTTTCTATTGTGATGAAAGACAACATTATTGCTTTTGCTAGCAGTATTTACATACATGCATCGACCTCTGATATGCTGATGAAAAGCACTTCATAGATGTGGCTTATAGATTTTCCTTTTGGAGGTTTCGATTGCTGAGGCTTTTCTTTCGCTAGATTAAAACCCATTTCTCTAAATTACTTTGAGTTATTTAAATGATGCCGGCTTTCCTTACAGTTCTTTATTGGCATATATTTTACATTTTGAAGCTGGCAATTGACAGCAGAGTCTAATTTAGTGAAATGCAAGTGACCTGCTGCGTGCAGATTCTGTTTACCATTTATTTATTTACATATTTCTGTTGCCTGCAGAGTATATTTTAATACGGCGTTATTTATTTTTTTTGTCAAAACTGATATCAGCGTGGGTATTTTAAAATAAAAAATACATGTCTATTTAAATAGGCTTTATAAAATGAAAATGCATTGTTTTATGCGCTGTGCTGCAGCAATAAAACAGCCTATTGTTTTATCCTGCTAAAATAGTAATACAAAGCGCCTGGCTTCCTCGCTTTATTGTCATATTTAGCAACAGTGTTATAGGATGCGTAGGGATACGTTTGTTAGTCAGTGTGAAGAATATTTCAATATTGGGGGTGGGGGGTGCTTCGGCGTATGGATACTGTCTCTCCCTGGGGCTCCCACTCGACTTCTCATCCCCGTTGTCATGCAAATGCTCATCCCTCTATTTGAATGACATTCTGATAAAATACATAAATAAATTCATAAAAGAATCAAAACAAAACAGGTCCACCAGCTCACTCGCCCCTTCTTTTGAAACCTCATGAATTTGCGTGTTTTCCTTGATAGAAGGACTTCTGAATAATATTCAGGTGTGTTTCACGCGAGCGCATAGTGTGTGTAAAAGTTAAAAGGTGGGTAAAGGTTGTTCCGAAAGGGTGGAAAAAGGGCATTAACTGAAAGGTTTTTACACTCCCCTGTGATCCGGGGTGCTGAAGTCCTTTTAGACCCGCCTGGCTCGGAGCCTCGTGTTCCCTCAGGACTCTTGCTATCGTGGCTATCGTACAATAGTGACATTTCCTTAAACTAGCAACAATGAGTAGCTCCTGTCTGGATCACAATAGACAGGGAATCTTGGCTTTATGCAGAATATTTTAAAGACCGGTGTGGCTTTTTTTTATTTTTTATCTTTCCTCTTTTCACTGTGGGGGAGAAGTGACAGTGAGCCCATGAGCACATTTCTTCTTCTTCTTCTTTATTCCTGTGTCCTTTGTGTGTGTGTATAAGTGTGTTTGTGAGCCATTGATGTTAATGTATGCACTCTGCATGACTTTAATTGATTTAGCAGCTCTGCTTGCACACTACAGCTTTCTCCCTAATTTGTCACTTTCCTGACTTCTGTGGCGCTCGTCTCGCAACTTCAAAAGCCAGCCGTTGCAAAGAGATTTCAATGCACTCCATCGTCTTCTTCTTCTTCTTCTTCACTTTTTACGTTCTTCTTTTCTCTTGTCCTCTCGCTCCGTCTCACCACATCTCTTTCTCACACTCGCCACCCTCCACCCCCCCTTCCTCGTTTGACAGGAGAACGAGCCTTGTAGATGGAAATCTTTTCAACGCATATCAAGGAAATTAATCTACTTTCATAATAAATGGGATCCACTCAGTTGAATACATTTGTATACTTCAAGATGTACAAAACAGGAAGTGGTACCGGGGCCACGTCTTCCTCTGCTCCGTTCACCCAGCCTGTCAGTCCCAGTTTTCTGCAGTTTGGTCACACACATTTTCACTTTATTTCTCCTCTCTCCCCGTGTGACAAAATTTTACTCTCTCATTTGTAAAGTAGGCAGGATTTTTCATGCATGCACGCTTTTGTGTTTGTGGAGAGATGCCACTTAGTGACCATTTTATCTTTGCCTCACCGTTCCCCCCCCCCCCCCCCCCAACTAGACACACACACACTTTACTGTAATACCAGTCCTCGGAAACAATCTGGACTGCTGAGGAGAGCAGCGCTGCAATCATACGCAGCCTGGCCCGGTCGCCATCAAGAGCTGATTAGGTTATTGAGCAAACGTGCAGAGGAGGGGTCGGAGCGAGGAGGGATGGGAGGCCCTCAGCTGGAAGGAGCGTCCGTACAGTCAGAAACACAGAGTGGGGAGGGGGTGTGGAGGTAGAAAGAAGTGAGATGGGGATTGTATGTGTGTGTGTGTTTGAGGGTGGAGGTGGTGGTGGGGGTCAATGTAAATGTTATTGCTGTGTGAGCTCATTTGATCAAAGTCCTGGAAAGGTTAAGCGAATCCAATCTGGTTTTGTATGGCAGAGTGGAGACACAGGCGCTGGGGAAGAAACCCCCAGGACGGAGAATGGATTATCATATTGGCGCTGGAGTAGCAGGGGCCTCCGACGGACAGTTTACTCTGCCCGTAATGCGTTTAGACAGCAATTGGCCTTAATAACCTTTATTGACTTCAGCGGGTCAGTGCCAAGAATCTAATTATCAAAGTGTATCAATTTCATTGGAGTTTAGAGTTGCACCGCTCCAAATAATTATTTTAAGGTCGGGCCGGGGCAATTAATCCCCTCTCCACTTATTTGATGGCTTTGTAAAACATTATAAATGTTGTGGTTTCCTTTGCACTTTAATGTAAATAATTTTGGAGAGTAAATATTTTTTTCTGCATTGTTCAGAACGCTTGCCACGCTGACGGTAAGAGCAAAAAAAAAGAAAGAAAGAAAGGGTAGCGTGCTTTTTTAAACTAGAGGCTGTGCTGAATTCTGCTGCAGATGTTTACCAGCAGTCGTTTCTCTCTTTCGTCCGGCGTTTTACTTGCACATTTAAACCAAGTTTTATACCCACTTTATATGCACACATGCAACCCAGATTAATTATAAGTGTGAACTAAGCAGTAAACTGTTTAAAGACCTTTTTTATTGCTCATTATGAAGCCATTTATTATCTCTTACATTAAATCACACTGTGTTTATGCGTCGCATTGTTTTGCATTTAAAGCTCC